GACCTCAGCCCTCCCAGGAAGGCCCAGTGGGACAGTCCCCATGTACCCTAGAAGTTCCTCACCCAGGAATGGGGCCATTTGCTGGCTTTTAACGGTCCACAGAGCAGACACACAGTGGGAGCAGACACACAGTGGGATTCTTTGCCCAGGTGCTCGTCTCTTTTGACTTCAGGAGTGACGATATTCTCCATGTTCTGACGTAGCAAGAAGGCTCTCAGTGGGGGCTGGCACCTCCACCCCGGACTTCTCAGCCTCTGGGGTTATGGGAAGTGAGTGTGTTGACATTGTTCACTACCTGGCCACTGGGGTTCCGTGACAGCGCCAGTTCCAACTGGTCCTTTGCTACCTCACTCCCCTCTGAAAGGACTCCAATTGCCCACGTCCATCTTCCTTCTGACATGTACCTCTTCTGAGCACCCGCCATCTCTATTTAGCCGAAAGTCCCCCTTGTATCCTGGGAACAACGGCCATCGTTTCTTGTTATCTCTCTTCAGAGCCTTGCCAGGCCGCCATATTTACTCTCCGATCCCTCCACCCCACTCTGGTCCCTTCACCCCTGTGAGGACCAGGAGACTTCCTGTGCCCAGGACACGCGTGCCTCCTCTTTCCTCATTTGGCATCTGGGCACCAGAAAAACGGGGACACCAAATTCACTGCTTTCTCATCTCTCCTCAACACCCAGCATTGTTTCTCCTGGGGTTTGCTAAGAGTAGAAAAAAATGTGCTTATGTTACAGAATATAGAAAGAAGGTGGAACCAAGAAGCTGAGAAAGTAAGCTGGTGGGTATATGTGTACTTGTAGGTTTCCTGCTTGGCAGGTCCCGTCACCCTTGGGCCCCCAAATAACACACCGACGCTATATTAATTATAAAAGTGTTGGCCGGTGACTAGGGCTTCTTATTGGCTAGCTCTGTCTTAATAATTAACCCATTTCCATCAGTCTATGTATTGCCACGAGACTGTGGCTTACCCAGTAATGCCCTGGCGTGTTGTCACCCCTTTGGCAGCATGGTGATTCTGTAGCAGGCTCCGTCTGCCTACCTTCCCAGAATTCCCCTCATCCTCGTCCTGCCTATCTTCCTGTCTCACTGGCCACAATGTTTTATTCATCAAACAATAAGAGAAACATATAAAGAAGGAATTTCCCCATCATATATGGTCTTTTGGCGTGAAAGAGCGAGAGGGCGGGGTGACGAGGGCGGGGTGATGAGGGCGGGGTGATGAGGGCGGGGTGATGAGGGCGGGGTGATGAGGGCGGGGTGACGAGGGCGGGGTGATGAGGGCGGGGTGATGAGGGCGGGGTGATGAGGGCGGGGTGATGAGGAGCCACCGAGTATGCTTGAAGATTGTCACCAGCACTGAGATGTCTACTAGGTCCGCTGAAAGCAGTCACCACAGTGGACGGTAACAGTGCGGCTGTCACCTGTACCTCCAGGGCAGTGGTTCTCAACCTGTGGGTCACACCCCTTTGGGGGTCGCATATCAGATAGTTACACTATGATTTGTAACAATGGCAAAATTACAGTTAGGAGGTAGCGACGAAACAATGTTACGGTTGGGGGTCACCACAACACCAGGGACTGTACTGAAGGGTTGCAGCGTTAGGAAGGTTGAGAACCACCGCTCTAGGGCATCAGAATGGTCATTTGGTCAAAGGGAAAAAAAGCTTACAGGTAGCAAACAATTCCTTCCACAAATTCGGGGTTAAGAAAGTGTGGCAGATTAGTGGGGGCGGCTCTGGTATTTTGAGGTCCTGGGGCAGAAGAGGATCTGTTCGCTGCTGCATTGCTGCTAGCTAGACCCTTGTGTCCACAACCTGGGGTCCCCTGAGTAGGCGCAGGCCGGGGACCAGCCATGTTACTGCACCCCTAAGGCCAGGGTAGATGCCATTTGCAGAGGAACCTTCCGCGAACAGGCCGGAGGTGAGCTGCCACACTCTGAGACCTGCCATCCAAGACGCCCCCTGCCCCACCCTGCAAAGTGCAACATTTCAGTGTCTGAGGCTTTGCTGAAGATGAAAAAAAAAAAAACACTTCAATTTCTCAAGCTACTTAATTTGATTTAATCAGAAACATGGACCTACAAAAACTTCCCCTGCAGGCTGAGAACCCTGCTGAGAAATCTCAGCCCAGAGTGCAATTAGCCAGAGAGAATTACCAACATTGGGAAATAAAACCCCGTATGATAGAGCCTCCCAATTATGGGGACAGTGTCAGTTATTCACTCCGAATGTATATGTATTTATCCCATCATCTTGTCGGGTTAATGATACAAGCAAGGCGATCCACTCCCATTATTGCTCAATAATGGACCGTGGAGATGGCGTATCTCCGCCTTTATTTTTGCTGGCACATCCTAGCACTGAAGCGCATTAAAGTAATAAAATTAAGCAAGGCGTCCCTGTCCCTCCCACCATGTTCCCGTAACCCCCTCATTTGCAGCAGACTGCGCTAGAAAGAAAGTTTTAGAGCAATTTAGGATGAGGCAACGCTGGATCTGTAAATCCTGTTTTATTGGCAGTTGGGGGGCAGCTCACGAAGATGCCTAGCAGCCTTCAGTTTATGGGCTCCTCTGGGTTGGGATGATTCCGTGTCAAGGCCACATGGGGGATCATGGGCAGTCAAACATCTCTTCATTGTTTTTACACCATGAGTTTTGCGGCCTTCAGGACCATTCTCTCACCTGTAGACTGGCCTGCTAAGCTTTAGGTGTGTGTGTGTGTGTGTGTGTGTGTGTGTGTGTGTGTGTGTGTGTGTGTGTGCGCACATGTGTGGGTGCCCATGGAGGTCAAAGGTTGGCACAGGTGTCTGTTTGTTTGCTCTCCACCTTATTTTTTCCAGGCAGGCACTCTTGTTGTCCCTGGGGCTTGCCACAAGTCCCCGAGATCTCTGTGTCTCCATCTCTTTGGAGTGGGATTACAAGCATGGGCCACTCTGGCTTCTTTTTACATGGGTTCATGGGCTCAAACTCAGGTCCTCACGCATGCATAGCAAGCATCCAGCAGCCGGACTATCTCTATGACTCAAAGCCAAAGTTTCTTATGGAGTTGAATGTCAAAAGCAATTTGTATATGCTTTATATATGTGGTATCTCCACCAAAGGCAGCAGCTGCCAGGGTTGAGGATGTGGTGAGGACAGCTTTGAGGGAGAACATGGGTGTGAGTTTGGGAGCATCAGATAGAGCAGGGTGGACCCGCCTGTGTAATCCAGTTCTTCTCTGGGTGCTGTGTCGTGAGGCAGTGAGGGGCAGGGAGGCTTCGTGGACAGAGCACATTGTCCTGTGGCCCTTCCGACACACTACATAACAGGAGAACTCAGCAGGGCTTTGCCCCGTTCACAATGAGCTATGACCAGGTCCAAGGGGCGAGGAGAACCATCACCCCACTCCGTGGAACTTCCAGACGTTATTGTGCTCAGCGGAGCTATTATAAAAACAAGAGGCTCAAAAGCCGGTGGGCAAGTCAGGGCTGGCCAGACTGCACACCCCTGTGTCTCCTCTCCCTCTCCTCTGCTGGGTCTGACTGTGCCCAGACCCGCACAGGTAAGAGAATGTAGGACAGGCTTCCAGACACCAGGGGCTGGGCATCCTGCACAGCTCATCTGTGCCACAGACCAGACAGCGGGAGGCCAGGGCAACAGGGCAATGGGGTCCCGGCAGGTGTGTCCTCAAGGTGGGGGAGGCAGGGCAGTGTTTCAGGGTCCCACGCCATGGGATTGTGAAGAATCCTGGGCGGGCTGTGTTTGTCAGCCACTGGGCCGTCACGTCGCCGACTCCACCTGGGGGAGTCCCCAGATCCTTGGCTTGTGATAGGCAGATAACCCATGTCAGCTGCAGGAAGGGAGGCCTGGCTTAGGGGATACGGGACACAGACAGGGAGCTTAGGGGACTCCAGGTCCAGCAGTTGTCGGGGTCAGTGGGAGACTCCTGTGCACGCAGCCTTTGTGGCTGGCGCTTTTAGAAACTGAACTGCCATCATTTCTCCTCTTAACCCGTAGGAATATCTGTTCATGGGTTGTCTGCTCACTGACTTACCGTGGATAACAAAATACCCGAGGTTGGAGAGGGAATGAAGGATAACTCACCACCAGGGGCTGCCATGCGTGACGCTGGCCTCTGCCCAGCTATGACGACAGTCTCACAGCAGACAGTGTCACGGGGCGGGGGTGCGGAAGTGACTGTGTAGTGAGACAGGAAGTTATCCACAGTCCCAGCTCCGGGGCGGGGGGAGGGGAGTGGCAAGGCTAAGATTCAAGGTCATCTTCAGCTATGGATGAGTCTGAGACCAGCCTGAGTGACTTGAGGTTCTGGCCCAAAACAACCAAATAATAATAATAAAATAAAACAGCCAAACAAAACAGCAGCCAGACCCAAGAAGCTGGCAGAGCCTGGCATTGCCATTTTTTTGTCTTTTTAAGTAACATTTTACTTTCATGAGAATCACCCCCAGAGACCAGTCTGAAAACTTCCCAGAGAAAGTCCTCCATGGCTTTGTCACCATCTACTTGGTCCCAGTTTTTTTGTACATTAAAAAAAATAAGATTCATTTATCTCTATTATATGTGCGTACTTGTCTTTGTGTTTATGGACTATGTGCATGCAGTGCCCATGAGGGCCAGTAGGGGGAGTCCGACCATCTGGAACTGGAGTTAAAGACGGTTTTGAGCCGCCACGTGGGTGCTGGGAACGGAACCCAGGTCCTCTGCAAGGCCAGACAGCACTCTTAACCACTGGGTCGTCTCTCCAGGCCGAATCCCCATTTTTTCCTGTGTGTGTGTGTGTGTGTGTGTGTGTGTGTGTGTGTGAGAGAGAGAGAGTGTGTGTGTACAAGCATCCTCCTGCACCATTTCTAACCCATGTAGACTCTGAGTTAAATGACCTCAGAAGGCTACATGACTATTCATAAAAATCCATCATAGTTTGTGTGCTTGCACTGTGACTGTTGACATCTTTCGCTGTGAGAATAGGTCAGATGAAGATCTCTTCTTTTTCCTACTCTCAGGCTGGTTATGACGGGGAGAGCATTGGAAACTGCCCATTTTCTCAGCGTCTCTTTATGATCCTCTGGCTAAAGGGTGTTATCTTCAACGTCACAACAGTGGACCTGAAAAGGTGAGATGAGGCTTCTGGGTCATTGAAATGATGGGACCTAATTCCCTGCACGAGGCAACACACTCTTTCGTGTAGACAAGCATGTATACGCACATACACAAACACGCGCCTGCATGCTGCTAAGGGCCGCGGGCATGTAATGGTATGTTTATCCTTTAGCCTTGAAATGAAGACCGAGTGCTAGCCAAGTGGTATGATTCATATAGAGCTCATGGGCTGCAGGGAGACATGGGGTTTGGGGGCCAGCGAGAGCCTGCTTTCCCTGTTATCCCGCAGCTGCATGCCTCCGGAGGTCTGCTGAGCAAGCACTGTTCCTGGAGGGTAACGCTGGAGAGCTAACTGTCCCACCTCTGCAGCCAGAAAAGGGGTTGCAGAGGGGTGAGTTCACCCATCAGTAGTTAGTGTGTTCCTTGGCTTTGATCTCCAGCAAGCCACCTTATTAATTCACGGGCCACTTTCAGATTCTCAAGGGCTGTATCCCTTAAGTGGCGCAGCGTGCCCTCGCCCATGACCCCAAATGCCGAGACCATCTACGCAGACTGTTCTTCCCTCCTATCTAGGAAGCCTGCGGACCTCCAGAACCTGGCTCCCGGGACGAATCCTCCTTTCATGACTTTTGATGGCGAAGTCAAGACGGACGTGAACAAGATCGAGGAGTTCTTAGAGGAGAAGTTAGTTCCCCCACGGTAGGCCTCCTGGAGCTGATACAGCATTGTTGGTGCTTTTCTCTTTGGTCAAGCACAGTAGGCCAGAGGAAACAGCTGGGTTAGACGACTTGAGTTAAGATGGACTCTGCTTCTAGTCTGATTTCAGTCCTGTTGCTGTGATGGAAACATCCTGACAATAAGGCAGCTGAGGGGAGGGAGCACAAGGTCTGTTTTCTCACAGCTCCGAGTTGTAGTCCAGGATTGCAGGGTAGGATGTCAGCCGGCCACATCCCGCTCACAACCAAGAGCAGAGAGAAATGCATGCCGGCACCTGCTACTATCATGCCTGCCCCTACATAGTCCAGGACCCCTTCCTAGGGAATGGCACCTCCCACAGTGGACTGGATCTTCTTGTATCAATTAACTATCAAATCATACCCACAGGCCAATCTATTCTAGACAGTTCCTCAACTGAGGCTGTTCTCTCATGTGGTTCTAGAATGTGACAAGCTGACACTTAAAACCAACTATCACAGCTTCCCTTCTTTATGTCCACAGAGTGGCTGGCAATCAGGGTGGTACGGCATACGGCATGGAGGAGGCGTTATTGCTGTGTGGGATAACTGTTTCTCATGTCTGCTTTTGTGAGAGTGTGGACCCTTTAGGAAGTCAAACCCTTTCCCTAGACCAGGGAGGGAATTAGGTCATGAACGTCTGGTCGACCCCCGTGTCCTAGGACTGGTCTTTCCAGGGCTTGATACAATGCAGTTCTCCCAAATCGTGTTTCTTACTCAGCCCTGAGATGCATAGTTTGCTAACCCAGTGCAGGGGAGCTCGCTGTTTTAATATCTTCCCAGAGGGAGATATTCCTCTCTGCTGCATTATCCTAACCAGCTTTTGTTCTTTTTGTGACCCTCCAATTTTGAACTCTTCAAGGTACCCTAAGCTGGGGACACAACACCCCGAATCCAACTCAGCAGGAAATGATGTTTTTGCCAAATTCTCTGCATTTATTAAAAACACCAAGAAGGATGCAAACGAGAGTAAGTATTCCTGTTCTGGGCTCTGTTCCCACGCGGTATCCCACATGGCTGCTGGAGAGACCCCGGGCATCTGGCTTGTTTCACAGAGGGTACAGATGGAAGTCTGGAAATAAGGAAGATGCCCCCATCTTTAACTCTGCCTATGACTTTGGAGAGCCTGTTTCTAGAGTTTGGGAATCCAAAATGCAACACTATTATGGGGAAACATTTCAGTACCCAGCTGTCCCCACCGGCAGCACAGCAGCTGTTTAGATGATGTCCCTGTCACTCTCTACCTAGTCATAGCTTCTCGTAAATGTTTGAAGAGTTTGGGCTGGAGGCATGACTCAGCAAGTAAGAGCACACATTGCTCTTGCGGAGGACTGGAGTTTAGTTCCCAGCCCCTACGCTAGGTGGCGCATAACCACACCTAACTCCAGATCCAGGGCACCTGGAGACCTCTTCTGGCCTCTGAGAACACTGCACACATGATATATACACACTGCACACATGGTATACACACGCTGCACACATGGTATACACACGCTGCACACATGGTATACATACACACTGCACACATGGTATACACATACTGCACAAATGGTATACACACACTGGACACATGGTATACACACACTGCACACATGCTACACATACACACAGGCACAGACACAGACACAAATAAATACAAAAGTTTAGTTAGAAATATCTTTTAGAATCCAGACGGGTCCTAGCAGCAGCACAGCTGTGAGGGTGCCCAGGGAGACTGAGTTCTGTCTGCCTCCGTGTCCTTCTGGCCTCCTCACTGCTGACCAGCCCTGTCTCGGAAAGGAAGCGCATCCAGCTCTCTCTTGCCAAGGCAGAAAAACGAAGCGGCAGCCGCTCGCACGGCTTCTCTCAGGCGTCTCTTGCCTTTGCGTTTTAGTTTATGAGAAGAGCCTGCTCCGGGCCCTGAAGAAGCTGGACAGTTACTTAAACAGCCCACTGCCGGATGAGATAGACGCCTACAGCACAGAGGATGTCACTGTTTCCCGAAGGAAGTTCCTGGATGGGGACGAGCTCACACTGGCCGACTGCAACCTCTTACCCAAGCTCCACATCATTAAGGTTTGTCTCTGCGCCTGACTCTGCACCCCGTGCTGCACGCACGAAGGAGGCTCTGTGGTTCTTTGCTCTGACTTGCACTTCGGTCAGACCCCGAAATAGGCCTAGAACACAGGCTTGAATCGAAAACCTGCGGTTTCTGTTCAAGGCAGCCAGGCTGCGGTGTTCAGACAAGTGGACCCATGAGCTCCAGGTGTTTTCCTAAATACCAGTGAATGCGCTCCCTACCTGTCTTCGCCGATAGTCTCAGGGTCTCCTTGGTTTTTACCATATGTGGCTTGGAGACGATGCATTGTTGACAGTCGCAGGGATAAACATTGTTCTAGGGTGTCCTGTCAATTATTAATATCAGCTTTCCTTTGCTAAGAGCCGTTGATATAGCTACTTGGCTTGGCCTCTTCTGTAGCTGGTACCCTGTCTTTCTACAAGACCCAATGGTTGTATCCAACTAGAATTATTTGAGGGTGGCTTTTAGATTTTTATTTTTTTAATTTTAGTTCTCACCAGGTGACCTAGCACATCAGAACTCGTACCGGCAACCCTGGGGTTCCCAGGCGGCCGGCCCACACTTGGACTTCTGAGTTGCTTCTCTCTCCCCCGACCCTATTGCTGCCACTTAGAGGTGTCAGTTGCTGTTATCACGGCTGCCACTGCTCCGTGTGTGACCCTCAGATGTCCAAAGTCTTGCATGGGGGCATCTTGAGTTTGACTCAGTTCTCGATGGGTCTCGGGCTGGTGTAGGGGTGTAAGGGTGGGGAGAAGGGAGACATGGGAAATACCAGTCAATGCCACGTTCTAGGTTCGTGTGTTTAATTGGCTGGTGGAATCACCCATCTGGCTCCAAGAGTCCGCGGTGGGCTACCTTACCTTTCTCTTCCCGAACACCATCTTCTTCCCGCTCTCTCCCCCTCAGCCTTTAGCTTTTCCTTTCTCTCTTCGGTGTTGTGCTTCCAGGAGACCTACTTAAGGTGGACACTCGTGATTCTTTGGGTGAATTATCTTTGTTAATAGCCTTGTTCGGGTCCCAACATCCAAAGTCTAACGAAGGCTTCTCAGCTCTCCAACACCTGAATCTAGAAGCCATTTTCCAGTGAGATACTTACACCACTGCGCTTTTGTTTAGTCCCTCTCAGGGATGGAATTTTAGTCTTTGCTGTGACTGACCCAGCAGCACACAGGTAGGTACAGGATGAAGAAGGGATTGTAGTTGCTCTGACAAATGCTTGAGAAAAAGCAGTATCATAGAGAAAGGTTTGTTTTGGCCCATGGTTTCAGAGGTATGGTCACACTCAGCTGGCTCTGCTGGTGTTAGGCCTGTGGTGAACAATACGGCACAGGCAAGCAGCTCACTCTGTGGAAGCCAGAGAGCACGCTAGGGAGGGCCAGAGACAAGACCCTTCCCAGGATTTCAGTGGCCTAGGCTCCACTTCCTATTACCCAGTCAATCCACTGTAATTAACCAATCGGTGAAGCTATCACTACCAGTTGGGGACCCAACCTCCCTTGTAAAAGTGTTGATTATCCAAACCACAGGGACATGAGAATCATCACAGCCACAAAGCACTAATCACAATGCGATTATTCATATAAAAAAGGGGGACTGGAGAGAGGGCTCTGTGGTTAAGAGTGCTTGCTGCTCTTGCAGAGGACCTGGGTTTGGTTCCCAGTATTCACATTGGACAACTCACAACCACCTGTAACTCCAGCTCCAGGGGATCCACATCTCCTCTGGCCTCTGTGAGTACCTGCACTCAGATGATTGCATTCAGATGAGATGAGCACACACACACACAGACACAGACACACACACACACACAGAGAAAGACACATATATACACACAGACACATACATACACACATACACACACAGACAGAAACACACAGACACATACACACAGACACAGACACAGACATACACACGTGTAAAAGTATAAAGGGCTAGCTGCAGGAATGGGAGGGGAACGGGTGTGTGTGTGCTAAAAGCAGTCCATGGTGCTAATATAAGACTTAGACACGAAATCTTCAAGCCATTTAGTACTTATAATGCTAACTATTTAATGATCTTCCAAAACAGAGCACTTCTGAAGGAAATGAGAATTATGGTAAAATGCAAGAGTGGAGAGATTTATAATTTATCTCCCTTCCTGAAACCCACTGAAAATGATATTAAAAATAGAGTATTGGTTTCATCTTTCACAAGCCTGCAAAAGAATGACAGGTCACCCACAAATGAAAAGAAATGTAAGAGACGGGACTGATGTATGGTTTTATATATATATATTTTTTTTTTCTTTTACACCCTAAGAAAATTGTCCTTGATCTTCAATGAGTGCTTCTTAATTTTTTTTTTTTTGGAGACAGGATTTCTCAGGCTGGCCTCGAATTCACAGAGATCCCCCTGCCTCTGTTCGGATTAAAGTTCTTCAGAAGTAGATAATTTGTTTCTGCAACACTGAGACCTTTGCTTAGAGGGTGGGGTGTGGCGGCGAGGGAAAGATTATAGAGCACACTTGGGCGATGTCTTGAAAGAGATGGAGTTGAAGGAGGGCTATGCCGAGGACACCTTTATAGCCTGTGCCCAGCCACTCACCCGCTGGGACCCCCTGGAGGGAGATGGGGTAGCAGGAGGGAGGGGATCTGGCACTGTGTTTTGAGGCTGCTGAACAGAGTTCCTTTATCCTAATGCTAACTGCTGAATGCTCTGATGCTAACCTCTAACTCCAGCTCTGATGTGTCCCTGAGTAGAGTAGAGGCCTGAGGTTCCCAGGCGATGCTTGGTTGTGAAGACTGAGTTTGCTCTCCCGGTGGCCCTGGCCCACCCTCTTATAGCCTCACAGAATTTCTAAGCAAATGGTAGCCCCAACATGTCTGCCTTACTAAACCATGACTAGCAGCAAGAAAGAATCCACATGGGGCCACTGTATAGCCAGAGATGATCTAAGTGGAGATGAGCTTGAATCTGAAAACAAATCACCCAAGGTCAAATGGACAGGCTCTAGATGCTTAAGTTCATGATGGGAGAAGGGGGAGGAGAGAAAGGAAGGAGAGGGAGGACAGAGAGGAGGGAGAGGAGAGGGAGAGGAGAGAAGAGGAGAGGGAGGGGAGGAGAGGAGAGGAGAGGGAAGGGGAGGAGAGGGAGGGAAAGGAGAGGAAGGGGAGGGAGGGAAAGGAAGAGGAGAGGAGAGGAGACAGAGAGGAGAGGGAGAGGAGAGGGAGAGGAGAGGGAGAGGAGAGGAAGAGAAGAGGGAGAGGAGAGGGAGAGGAGAGGGAGAGAGAGGAAGGGAAAGAAGAGGGAGGGGGAGAGGAAGAGGAGAGGGAGGGAGAGGCAAGGGAGGAAGAGGATAGGGGAGGGGAGGAGAAGGAGGGAGAGGGGAGGAGCTCGTTCATGCTCCATCTTACATGACTGCCTTATTTTTATATTAGTACTGTAATTATTGTCTGCTGAGGATCAAAGCCAGGCAAGGGCTTATACATCGTTAGCCCCAAAGCTCTGCTCCCAAGGCCATGCCATGTGTAGGAAACATTCCCAGAACAACACGGTGAGACTTCACCGAGATTCTGCAGTGGGGGGGGGCCCTTAAGAGCTGCACCTGCTCCTTTCCATTGTCATAACAAGATGTTTGAGGCAGGGGTATGCAGGAAAGTTTACTTATCTCTCAGTTTTAGAAGTTCAAGAGCAGGAGTCAACTCTGGTGGGGACCTTACGGCATCCCAGGGTAAGTGTGTGTGTGTGTGTGTGACCATAGCTAAGACAGGAAGTGACCATAGCTAAGACAGGAAGTGACCATATGGTGAGACAGGAAGTGACCATATGGTGAGACAGGAAGAGACCATAGCTAAGACAGGAAGTGACCATATGGTGAGACCTCCCCACAGAATTAATCTGAGTGCCATGAGAACTACTTCAGTCTCTCCTGAGTGTGTTGTCCCAACCATGCCCTCCTCTAGAGCTCTTCTTCTTGAAGGTCCCAACACACATTGTCCCACTGAGACCCAAGCTGCCAACATGTGACCCTTTAGGGATGGTACTCAAACCACATCAGACAGTCAATAATGCTTAAAAACAGCAAGGACGACACAGACAGACCATAGAACAACCCACGGGGCAGGGGTGGGGGGTTGGGATTCACAATGGCCTCAAGTATCTTCATGACATCAAAAATCAGAAAACAGTGGCCTTACTTCAAGAGAGGAAAGGGAAGGCTGTCTGGTGTTTTATGAAAGAGTGTTATATCCCCGGTTATTATCCACCCAGACACTGGCCTCAGCAAAATGAGTGCTCCTGAGCAGTGAAATTGCTCTATGATGAAATACCCAAATGATCACGAAAATAGGAATGGGAGACAGATAAGGCATGTGTTGGAAAAGGCTGCTGAGAAACGGAAGCTATTTCGACCTAACTTAGAGCATAGATTTGCTCAGACACTGGCTTGCTCAAGGACTATCGGAAGAGCGAGAGACTTAGCTACCCAGTCCCAGCACACACACAGCTCTGCCATTCACCTGTTTGGTTTCTCTGTTCTCGTTTGTTTGGAGAACACACGACTCAGGGGCTTAGAGAGGGTAATTATGTTTTAATTAAAGATGAGATAAATTTATAAAACGAATCCACAGCTGGAAATTCAATAGGAGGGGACAAGTCCTTCTCAAGAGTTGCTTTGCTTGGAGTTGCAGCCCTTTCAGTAGGGAACCTGAGCTGATGCTGGCTCAGAGACCAAACAGCTGCTGCAGGGACAGAGGAAAGCCAGGATGTGGTAAACTTGGGTGTGGTCACAGTCACCAGGTGGGGGTGGGGGTGGGGCACAGGAGAAGAGCCGGGAAGAAGTGGAGATGTAAACATTCCCTCCTGTGATGCCACCAGGAGTCAAACTTGATAGATGATATCAGCGGACTCTCACAAAGAATGAATCCTCAGCCCTCTGGTTATTGAAAGGGGATGTATGCGTAAATGTGCATACACACACACACACACACACACACACACACACAAAAAGAGAGAGAGAGAGAGAGAGAGAGAGAGAGAGAGAGAGAGAGAGAGAGAGAGAGAGAAATATGTCTTTAAAACAATAAGATGGGACAGGAGGGATGTTTCCGAGGTTAAGAGCACTTGCTGCGTTTCCAGAGGACCTGAGTTCAGCACCCATGTCAGGCAGTTCACAGGTGCCTGTAACACTGGGTCCATGGGAGCCAACACTCCCTTATGGCCATCACAGGCATCTGGACTCCCATGCACAGCCATCCCCCCATCCATATAACTTTAGAAAGTAAATCTAAAAAACATTTAAAGTGCAGTTAGCAATCAAGAAAGTCACCTGGTGCCAATCTGAACTCCACAGTGTGTGCACACGCTTGCACTCCATCATACGTAGTTACACAGGCGCATGGAGATTATACACACACAGAGAAGTTATACACGCAAGAGTCCATGCACGAGAGGCAGACGTTTCGCAAATAGCCTCGTTAATATTAAAATATCCAGGCCTGATGGCGCAGGCCTGTACTACCAGCTGCCTGTGAGGCTGGGGGAAGGAAATTGCAAGCTCGACCCTGCCTGGGCTACAGAGTGAGCCCAAGGCCTGGCTGGGAGAGTTAATAGGACTCCACCTCCAAATAAAAGGTAAAGAGGGAGCTGGGCTCAGCGGAGGGGCCCTTGCTAAGCTTGCTTGAGACTCTAGGCTAAGACTTTTCAGAAAGGTCAGAAGTGAGGCAGGTGAGTGCCAACCAAAGAAATGGAAACCCCTGGCCTGAGCATCCTGAAGTCTGTGTTCAGGGAAGGACGCCACACCATGCCGGAGGCTTTCCAGATGTTCCTTGGTCCTAACTTGCTGCCACACTGCGCCAATGGCTGCTAGCGGATACTAAGATCTGATTGGTGCTGTGTCTCCTGCTTCATCCCGCCATGCCAGGAACAGCAGGGAGGGAGGGGACACAGCAGAAATGGCCACTGAGGCAGATGGGATCGTGCCCCTCCCCCAGCGCGTGTGTCACGGTCTTCGTCCCTTCAGTGGAGGCAGAGCCCTGATGAGGTCTTGACTTCAGACCCCTGGCTTCTGGGACTCTGACAGGATGACTTCCTGTTCTTGGTTCTTCGGGTGTGGGGCACTGGAAGTCTTATATCCCCCAGCATTGGGAGGGGTCCTTAGCGTCTTGCCCATCTGGCCCGCTCCTCACCAGGGAAGCGTCTCACGCTGCTGCGCTTCTTAGAACATGCACCCCACTTGCTATTTTTTTTCTTGCTTCCATTGTCTCCACGATGATGAGGTCACACTGTTTCGTTCATGCATCCGGCAGTGACGGACTTCTGCAGAGATACCACACGCAGATGTTAGGGATTGCTGGCGATGAGAATGGGGAGCTAGGGGGGAGATACGGGAGGTTCAAAGGTCCTGACGCAGTCTAAGATGAAGACTCGTCACGTGCCTTCACGCAGCACATGGTGACACCTGACAGCGGCATTGCCGTAGACACAGGGAGGAAGCCACTGACGTGTGCACGCGCACGGGGGATCCCAAGGATCATTTCTGGTAGCTTGGCGGGTGGGACTGCAGGGATCTCAGATTAGTTGTTATTGTTATTATTATTATTGTTGTTGTGGTTTGCTTTGACATATTACAAAAAAAAAAGAAACTTAGAGGAGGAAGGTTTATTTTGGCTCACAGGAAAGCCGTCACGGCAGGGAAGGTGTGGAGGCTGGAATGGGGAGGCAGATGGTCACATTGCATCAGCAGTTAGGACACGGACAGCGATGGGTGTTGGTGCTCAGCTCCCTTCGCCCTTTGAATTCAACCCGGGCCCCCAGCGCACGGAATCGTGTCTGTTACAGCTAGTGTGGATCCTTCTACCTCAACTGACGCAGTCTAGGGACTCCCTCACAGACAGACCAGAGGTTTGTGCCCTAGGTGAGTCTAGATTCCATTATAGAGTGACTGCACTTGGTTCCTGTCCCTCTGTGACCCTGCCTGTCCTCAAGGTGCCCTAGCAATGTTACAGTGCCACCAAGGGCATCCCAGGATGACTCCAGGAGCTACGCCGTGCATCTCCTAGGGGTGAGATGGTCTGACTTGGCCCGGGAGAGTGTTGTACCCCTTTCCTCATCATTCCCTCTCGATTTTCAGATCGTGGCCAAGAAATACAGAGGTTTTGAGTTTCCTTCTGAAATGACTGGCATTTGGAGGTACTTGAACAACGCCTATGCCCGGGATGAGTTCACTAACACATGTCCGGCTGACCGGGAGATCGAACACGCGTACTCGGATGCGGCAAAAAGGATGAAGTGATGCTCGCTTGCCTTCCGGTCCCTTTCTCAGATGAGTGAGCGAGGCTTCCAGGAGAGCCCTCTGTGCTTCCCCAGAGGCGGCGTTTGCACGATGTCTCCAGCTCTCTGAATGCCACCACAGGGTGCATGGCCTTGGATTTGTCTACTCATTGCTACATCTCGTCTATGCTAACCCCGTACTCTCGTGATCGTGCTTAGGGCAGCGGTGTTTCGCGCTGTGCTTCAAAGACTTGGACTTCCATCCCCCTGTTTCACAGAAGTTAGTCTTTCTTTGATATTTCACATACACAGCTTGCTTTTCTCTTCTTCAATATTAGTTTAAAACGAAACACTTTAGAGCACTGTTAGAGGGTACGAAGAAGAAAGTAAAAATCACCTAAAACTTACTGTGTGTAACTTTTGGTAACAAATTGTTGAATATTTCTAGATTCTTCAATCTTTCATGTATGCCTGTGTGCACATGCGTGCGTGTGTGTGTGTGTGCACATGCGTGTGTGTACGTGCATGCGCACATACACATATACACACACATGTGCACATGCAGATACACATCACACATAATTTCCTTCATACATGGTGTGGCATTTGTAAGGGGCTGATGAGGGGACCTCTTGGTGCCTCAATGGTCATCACAGAAGACTTAAGACAAAGGATTTGTCCCCGATGAGTCACATAGGGACCGTAGGCGCCCCCCCCCCCCCGCAGTGCCAAGGGATAGCAGGAACTGGGGTGATGGGACCAGGGTGTCCTCTTCTGCTCCGAGGATGCTGTCGCCTCTGAGTCCTGGAAGGGTGTAGAGAGTGTGCTCCTGGGCCTTTGGCTCTAACTTCCTTCCCGGTCCCTTCTCTTCTCTGTCCTCTAGAGGAACTGTGCCTTCACGGGGACTCTTTCTGTCAGCAGCAGTGTGGAGAATTCCCCCTGTCTTATGTCATGTGAGCCTATGACTTCTGCTCGTGGCAGTTCTTCAATGAGAGCGTGCGGCTGAGGCTAGCTCATTCATGTCTACTTTCTATCTCATTCTGAGGCTAGCTCATTCATGTCTACTTTCTATCTCATTCTGAGGCTAGCTCATTCATGTCTACTTTCTATCTCATTCTGAGGCTAGCTCATTCATATCTGCTTTCTATCTCATTCTGAGTCCAAGCAGGGCAACTAAATTCCAGGAGAAAGCTCAGAAAATCCTACTCTTAAGCACTCCTGCTCTTTAACGAGGAGTGTCTGGTCTCCTGTGGCATTCCCTCCTTCATCCCTGGGGCCGCCCAGCATCATAGCTAGGCCCATGGGTGGCTGCTGGGCTCCAGCCCAGTTGTAGATGAGAAAATGTGAGGCTGCTTAGAGGCTCTACCAGACATCTCTGGCTGTATCTTCACAGCCACACGTCTTCCAGGAAACGTCTCTTGTAGACTTGGCTGTGGAGCATGGTGGGTTCTGGAACCCTCATGCGTAATCTACTCAGTGGGCAATTTGTTTGGATGAAAGTGAGATTCACGCAAACAGTAAGATCCTAAGATTGGGTGAAGAATGTCTCACAAGGACATGAAGTCCAGTACGGAGGCCTGTTCATATCCTTGTTTCTTATATGCTCTGGCTTCAGCTCAGTAGTTAGTTTCTTTGTCACTTGAGGGAAGAAGGTTTTAGGATCGTGTCTAGCCCATATCACCACAGTCCAAATTATTTCACATCTCTTTAGGAGTCAGCTTTTACAATGTGACATTCACACTTGGTAAATGAGTGGATAATAGGGTGTTAGTCCTGTTAATTTTGATCTTTTAGATATTAAGATGATCACCAATGGTGTGCCTTACAAATAAAACATTTTCAATCAACTTTATTGTTTTTCTTTAGTTTCTTTTGTGTGTGTGTGTGTGTGTGTGTGTGTGTGTGTGTGTGTGATGTGCCTGCATGTGTGCCTTTGTGTTTGGATGCATGTGGCTGCCGTGCATATGTGGTGAATGCTTGGGAGGCCTGAGGATAATGTCAGGATCTTCCCTCCTTACTCTTTCGGGGCAGAGTCTCTCAGTCAAACCCAAAGTTCTATATGGCGCATCTTGCTAGACAGCTTTCTTTAGAGATCCCTCTACACCTCTGAGGCTAGAATTACAGGGTGGGCTGCCATGTCCACATTCGAGCAAGCTGAACCCCAGTGCAGCAGGTACTTCAACTGCTGAACCACTCCCAATTCCAGTAAAGACTGAAAGTGAAGCCAACCTCCCTCCCTTCTTCCCCCTCCCTCCCTCCCTCCCCTCCTCCCCCTCCCTCCTTTCCTCCTTCCCTTCCTCCCCCTCCCTTCCTCCCTCTCCCCCTTCCCACCCCCTTCTTCTCCCTCCCCCTTCTCTACCTTTTCCATTTTGACTTAAAGGAATAAAATGAACCTCCTTTAAAAGAAGGTGAGATCAAATTTGAGCCAGAGGTTGCTGGTGTGAGATAATCCATATGTGAGCTATGAACCACAGACGTGTAAGTGGTACCTCAAGAGGCCTGAGCAGGTATGTGTGACCTCTTTGTCCAGGTGACGGAAACAGGTCATCCCATTTATACTGGTAGCTGTAGGAAGGTGGCTCCTTGGGGCAGTCACCTTTAGTCCTTGTTGCCAGCCTCACTCCCATTCTGCTCTTCCCCCACCCCATCCCAGCCCCACCCTCAGCCCTGCCCCATGCCCCAGCCACACCCCTTGCCCCAGCGCTACCCTTATACCCTAGTCCCACCCCCAGTGGTGGAATTCCAGAGAGACTGATCGTAACCTTTGGGATCATGCAATTCTATTCTCACTTATTTGTTGCTGCGACCTGAGAATTAGAAAACAATTTTAATATTTTTTTTTATTAGAAAGCCAACTTTCCTGGTGGGGCTGACTACAGACAGCCGCAGCCTGGGAAAGAGCATGGGTATCCTCTCTAGTCCTCCCAACAACTGGAGATGGAAGAACAGTCACCCTGCAAGACCTCCATCCCCTACGTGCAGACTCTCTGCACACTTGCGCACACACACACAGTTGAAGCCAGCCTGCAAAGCCTCCTGTAACTTTAATGCTTCTGGCCTGGCTAGGTCCTGCTACCCTTCTCTGCCCCAAAGAAACACGCGGGCGCTATATTAGTTATAAGTTGTTGGCTGGTGACTTGGGCTTCTTATTTCTAACTCATAACTACTAGTCTAAATATTTCCTTGTGATCTTATCTTACCGGAGAAAAGGTCCAGGCCACTTATTCCTTTGGGGTCTACATGGAGTTTTCTCAGTGTCTCTGCAGAGAAGATTTCCTGCTTGTCCCTGCTTCTACACTGATTCTGCCCTGCTAAGTCACTTCCTGCCTGGATCACAGGGCGACTTCTCTTTACTACATTTCCCAGAATCCTCCTTGATGCCTAGTCCCACCTATCTTGCTTCCCTATTGGCCAGCAGTACTTTATTCATCAACCAGTAAGACAAACGTATACACAGAAGGCCACTCCCCATCAACCTGCACTCCCTGTGTGCAGACCCTCTGCATACATGTGCACACACACACACACACTCACAGTAGAAGCCAGCCTGCAAGGCCTCCATCCCCTGTGTGCACACAAATACATGCACATGTGTCCTTAACACCTTCACACGTTCCCACACACATCTGTGTGGGCATCCACACACACACACACACACACACACACACTCACACACACACATGCACAGCCTCCCCCAACTCCCAGAGCAAGTGGAGCTCAGGGCTCCCCTTCAGCACATGCTTCGTCCTAAGAATATGTAATCCACAGTTCTACGAAATGGACCAATTAAGTGGTAAGCATTACAAGATGGCAACGGTTTAGCTTTTCCTCTTAAGTCGATTACCTTTCAAAGTTTGAATTTCTGATTCATCTCTCACCATGCCCTGGGTGTGGTCACTTTATAGTGCCGAATGGGTAGTTGTGATCCCTGGCCACAGGCACAGGTTCATCTGGGACTTGCAGGTCATGTCTGTCTTCCTATGTCCTCTGTGTGTCTAGGAAGCCACCACTGCTGTTGTAGCCTGGCTTAGGCAAAGTCGCTGTTCTCAACTGCAGAGGGTTCAGCTTGAGTTTTGGACAGCTGTGTCTCTGAATGACACTGTATAGTCAGGGAGAGCCCAAAGCTGCCATTGTGTGGCCTAAACTAGGACAGGTAACTTGGTCAGGTCATGGTTCAAGGAAAATTACGTTCTGAAGCAGTAATCCACAACCATGGATGGCATGGGGAGTCCTCTGTCCAGAGAGTTAGGTCTCAGGTCAGACCACCATTGAGGTCTTATCCTACACACTGTTCACCTCATTCATAGCCATCCGTAGGGGGAAACTTAGTACTCCTCCATTAGCCATGTGGTGTATTAGAGGCGCATACAGAGGAGGTAATAAAAGGGCGGTTTACCGCACTGCTAACCACACCCACTTTAGGCGTGACTAAAGACGTATACTGATGTAGGCGGTGAACTACGCCACTAGCCAGGCCCACTTTTAGGCATGGCTAGGGGCGTGTACGGAGGAAGGAATTAAAGACTGAGCAGCGGAACCTCTCACTTTTCTTTGGCTTCCAGTTCGGTGGTGGAAAACTGCTCGGCTCCTCAGGGTTGTTCGCTTCTCTCTAGTGAGTAATTTCTGCAATAAACAGTTACTATGCCCTCGATAGCTGTGCCGCCTATCCTTGTAGCATCAGCCATCCACCCCTCTCCCCATCCTAGAGCACTCTGGCTGCTTCCAGGGATGCCGGCTGCTTGGCGGACTTAGCCACCCTCTTGGAAAGAAGCCGTTTTCCCTCTGAGGGCACTGTCCACCGTCACCTCTTCCTCGACGCCTCCCTTAAATCTCCTGGTGATGGGACAAGGACAGTGGCACCAAGGGCTGGCCTAGGGCTGCCCACAGTCCATCAGATCAGCTGTCTCTGTGGCCCTGACAGAGCGTCTTTCCAAGTGGCCGCTGTTTGTGAATCCAGGTTAGACGTCTTTCTGAAGCTCTGATTGCCTAAGTACCAACACCTACCAAGGTTCTTTCAATCTTCCCATGCCTACAGGCTGCAGTGTTATCTTGTGATAACCCCAACACCCGGAAGTGAGTTAGTCCTTTCTGAGAACGCACCCCGGTTTGAGAACAGGAAATGTTTTCAAATGACGTTAAGGTTTTCACTTGCTTGTTTGATTTTCCCATTCAGGGATTAAGTACTTAGAAGTTGACATGTTTCCAGTCCCTTTCCCCAGAAGGGCTTTTGAGGCAGTACTGAGAAACAAAACAAAACAAAACAAACAAACAAACAAAAAAAGCAACAGCTAAATCCTGAGCAGACTTAAGGTCCAAAAACTGAGCTGGGCATGGTGGTGGCTTACCTGGAGCCCCAGAACTGGGGAAGCCAAGGCAGAGAGTGAGTCCCTAGAGTTTGGATCTAGATCTACAATCTACAACATATCTGGTTATATGTCAATTAATATTTAATTCTGATTGCCTATTGGCATAAAATGTAAGTTGTCGGAATGAATTGGGCATGAATTCACAAGTTTATGGAAATTTGATCCTTTGTCACAAGGGTGGCAAACATTTCTACTCTGACTTCTTGGCTTCACAAGACACAGGGAAGTTGGGATGGTGGTCACCTGAGCTTCATCTGTTCCCCTTCAGTCTCTGGGCTGACCGGGTGTGGAGAGCTGGCCTAGGGCTCTGTCAGTACACTGATCTGAGAGGCTCCACAGTAGCCGGACAGCTTGAGTGGGAAGCCATCTTGTTTGGCTTGGACACGCCGCTCCCTATTGCAAGAGACTCGGAGAAACGGGAGAGGTGATAAACCAAGGGGAATAGCCTCCCTGAGGCTGGAGCCCTAGACCTATGCAAGCCAGCCTCCCCTTCTCACCAGTAGGTGGCACTTCCTCCCACCGCAAACCTCTCCACCTTCCACTGGGTTGGACTTGAAGTACCAGTGGGCCATTCCAGTCTGATGCAGACATAGATTTGAGACTTTATCCAAGCACAGCCCGTGTCTCTGGGTGACGTCCTAGGGGACTAACCTGTCAAATGTGGCCCTGTGGGGCCGGAGAACAACGTGTGAATCCACCCTGTTGGCCCCAGGAAGCCCACCCCCAGGTATTGGTTGGTCCCCCCCCCCCATACAATGAAGAATGCGTTTGAGAGGGGGCATTTTTCTCAGCCCTGCAATTTTCTGTCTTGTCAGAAGTGCCAGGAACAAGAAGTCCCTGGTTATGCTTGACACCAACACGAGTGGGACAGCCGTGCGATGAAATCAAGTGTATGGATGGCTGTCTGTCTGCCGAGAGATTCAGGGACCCAGAGATCGCGCTCCAGACTCATGGGTGCCCTCTGACAGGAGGGGCCCCAGCACGCCACAATATGCAGTCTTTCATGGTACCAGGGATGCCCCAAGAGTGCCTGCCCCCTTCCTCATCCCACTCTCGTTCCCCCACAGACAGAGGTGTACGAGGCACTATCTCATGTGTAGCTGGGCGCTGGGATCATTGTCAGTCGCTGGCTAGATGTCCTCTAAGGCTATCCCTTGTTCAACTCTGATTTCTGAGTCCTGGGTTATAGCATCACGCAGTGTAGTGATGAAGACCATTGTTGGGGAGGACTTGCAGATGATGAAGGCAGCTGTGGTTAGATCTGAGTACACATGCGTGCGCGTGTGAACACACACACACACACACACACAGCGACTTAGAGCTGCGCAGTGTGACCTTATTTCAAAAGAGGATCTTTGTAGATGAAGTTAGTTGAATTCCCGTGAAGTCCTATTAGGTGAAGCTAGTCCCTGATTCCAGTGTCGCTGACGACATCATAAGAAAAGACAGTACACAGACACACACAGGGAAGGGACCATGGGCAGGCGAGGGAGAGGCAGGAAGGGTGCTGCAGAAAGTCTGGGAACCCCGAGGAAGGCTGACACCACCAGAAGCAGGAAGAGGCGGGGAAGCACCCTTCCCCTGAGTGCTCACGTGGGAGCTCGGCTCTGCTGACGCATGAATTGAAATATTGAAATGCTCATGTGGGAGCTGGCTCTGCTGATACATGAGTCGAAGGTTCCAGTCTCTGGGCCAGTGAGAGGGTAACACATTTCTGATGGTTTAAGTGCCACCCACTGTCTTCATGATACATTGTTACTGAATCCCCCGGAAATGAATAGCAGAGTCCTGCTTGGGTGCCTGTGGGAGAGAGCTGTGTTAGTCACTCTTACTACTGTGACAGGACTCCTGACGATGGAGGAGGAAGGGTTTGTCCATGGTCATGCTCTGGGCGATATTACAGCCCATCACTGTGGCAGGAAGGCCCGGGGGTGGGTAGAGGGGGCAGGAGTCTCTTCAGTCTGAGGCCGTGGAAACATAAGGCCATGGGCTATGTTGCTGAGACTAGAAGTGAGTTAGCCTGTAACCCTCCGATCCTACTCAGAGGGCCCTACACCTGCCTTCCAAATCCTTATGCCCAAAGGTTGCAAAACCGTGCCTGCCTTCCAAGCCTTATGCCCAAAGGTTGCAAAACTGTGCCAGCAGGTCCAAACACGTGAGTCTACGGGGCATGCTCTGCATCCGACATAGCTGACCCTCCCGAGCCTTGCTTCCCCTCCTCTGTCAAATGCCGGGGCTGCGTGGCGCTGCCTTCTATACCCTTTCAATCCATTCAGCGTTCATCCCTGGCTCAAGCTGCCGGGCTCAGCCCCAGTGATAATATTTGAGAACAGTCCCCAAGCCCAGAAATGCACACGGTCTCTATTAGTCACTGCCTCATTGTTGTGACAAAAATATTTGACAAAAGTAACTTAGGGGCAAGGGTTTATTTTGGCTCACAGCCTGAATGCACAGGGAAGTCATGGCGACAGATACATGGCAGCTGGCCCTGTGGCATCTGTAGCCAGGAAACAATGAATGAGAGTGGAAGGCCAGCGCTCAGCTTCTCACTCGGTCCGGGACCCCGGCCCATCGGACGGTGACACTCACCTTTAGAGTAGGTTCTGCGGTTAAGTCTCACAGGCGTACTTCCATGACACGTTTAACCCCGTCACGTCGTCGACAGTCAGTGCCCACCGTAGCTCGCACACCAGGGCAGGTTCTTGGCTTGGATGCTGCTTATCACCTGCTTCAGGAAGTTTTGGTAGACATTTTGCTTTCTGAAGGGGCCACTCCCCACATTTAGGGCACGCATGACATCTGTAACTACAGGAACGGTGTCTACTCACCTGACCGATCATGCTCAGCGAGGACAATGGGATGCCTGTCCACAGAACAGGTCCCTTACCTTCATCACAGCTTTCAGAGGTGTAAGCAGTAAAAGGGGCCCCCATAGGTCCATAGGGAGGGGCACTATTAGGAGGTGTGGCCTTATTGGAGCAGGCATGGCTTTGTTGGGTGAAGTGTGTCACTAGGTCTCAGAAGCTCAAGCCCAGACTCAGTGACTCACAGCCACAGAAGGACATGCTGCCCCGGGAGAACCCTCAGCTCCTACTCCAGCACCACTTCTGCCTGCAACGCCCCTGTGCTTCCTGCCGTGATGATAACGGGCTGAACCTCCGAAACTGTAAGCCAGCCACAGTGAAATGTTTTCCTTATTAAGAGTTGCTGTGGCCATGGTGTCTCCTCACAGCCGTGGAAACCCTGACTGAACCTTCCTCCACCTACACCTCAGCTCGCTTCACCAACGAGTAGCACACACGCCTTGGAAGGAAGTATGTCCAGGAAACATGGATGTGGAGAAGTCCAGGCGTGTTTTCCCCTGCAGTACCTAATGCAGAGTATTTGTTTTTGATCATGGTGATCATGGCGATGACACTGGTGTGTGTGTGTGTGTGTGTGTGTATACGTGCTCCTGTGTGTGTGTTACATACAGAGGCCAGAGGAGGCCACCAGAGGCTCTCCTCTCATTGCTCGCTACCTCATTTAAGAGGAGATCTCTCACTGAACTGAAAGTCTGCTTTGTGAGCCGAGGAGACATGCCTGCCTCTGCCCTTCCCCCCCCATCCCCACCATAACACTGGGTTTGCAACTGCATGCAGTCGTGCCTGGCTTTCTATGTGGCTGCTGGGGATTAAAACTCAGGCCCTCACGCTTGCTCTCTTACCCTGAGAGCCTTCTGCTTAGCCCTGAAGTAGCTGTCTCCTACACCATGCAACCAAGGTCACACGCTTACCAGCTCAGCACACACAGCAACCGGCCATGGCCCTCACCCCTGAAGCTGCTCCCCTACATTTTTCCTTTTAGCTGATATTTTTTTTTCCAGGTGTTTCATCACAGTGACAGAAATCTGACTCATCTACAAGAAGTTGACGTGTTCCATATCTGGCTGTTTTGTTCAAGGTCACAGAGGCCAGAAAGGGAAGGAATTGGCTGAAGCTGGAGTCCCATAGAGGTTTGAGGTCAGCTCCTGGGGTCTAAACTTCTCTTCTCTGACCGCTCTAACTCACCGTCTTTCCTTTGAAGGGCTCATCCGATTAGTCCACACCCACCCAGGGGACCCTCCTTTACACACAGCTGATGGAATCAGACATTTCCAGAATGGAGTCCATGCACTCAGATCAGCTGGCTAGGGAGGGACTTGCATTGTGCATTCCAACTCCCTTCACCTTTGTCCCGTCACGTGACCCAATCACAGGAATCGTGTTTATTCGCAGGTTCTACCCAGCCTCAGGAGTCGGGGCATGTATACAGGGCCTGGGAATACCAGGAGCCATCTTAGAATACCGCTGCCATGGACAAGCTGGAGTCCTTGTGATGAACGCTCTGGAGGAAGTTTCCACCAGCAATGCTCAACCCCTGAGTGAGGTCAACAGAGGCTGCATTGCCAGACCTCTTAGGTGTTCCCAAGCCAAGCCGTGGCATCAGATGTCTGCGGCCTATCTTCTTGGCGAGCTCCCTCCAGACTCTCTTACTGTTAATCCTCGGGCTCAAACACCGTGGGGCGGGAAGGTCTGACATTCCCTGAAGTCCACTTGACCTGATTCCCAGGTTCCTCTGACAAAGCAAGAGTTTGTTGACCTCTACATCTTGGCACTAAGTGTACTTATTTACTCAGTTTTTTCTTTCTCCAAAGGGTGGGGAGAGAGGGTGGAGCCGAAGGAAGGATTTTTGTTGGTCAGTGAGGGGCTTTGCTATGACTTCTGTCTGAGTTGAGCAGGTGGCCAAAGTGTCTCAGTACAACGCAGACACGACTCTCCTTCAGTCCTCCCTGATTACATGGGGGGGGGATCTGTCCAAATAAGAACACTAAGGGAGTGACCAGACTCCTGTGGACATGGCAGCCGAGCGATGCCTGCCTGTGCCACGGCAGGTCGCCGGGGCAGAAGCCACATGGGCAGAAACCGAGTCCCCAGGCCTTGAAGCTCTTGGTGAAGAGTGAGGGACTCAGCACCTCTGAGATTTGCTTTAACAGTCCTGTTCTGTGTGACATTTTGAATATCTGACCGTGTGGCCTGAGCAGCTACGTCATGACGTCACAGCTTTTGAAAGAGGCCCCTTTCAAGGAAATGACAAACAAGGGTTTTGTTACTCTGGGAGATCACATTCTGGTGAGAGGTATCATTATTTGTTTAATTAAATTAACATTTCACATGGTATGGCCCACTCTTCCGATTCTTGGGATCTTACGTCCTGGGGAACACAATGAAATCGTGGCTTTCCAGGCAAGTTGGTTTTGTCCTCAGACATGACTTCCTTTGGTCAAGTTGGAGGAGACGGCAGTGTCCTTGGTAAGAAATGACTGCATAGTCTCAGTCACAGAGTGCCTTCACAGATGACAAGCTCGATACCCTTGTCAGGAAGCACCTTTTCTGGGGACACTGGGTTCCCTGTTAATGTGATGGTTATAAAGGCACACACTCCCATCTTGTCCTGAAGGCCAGACCCAAAGAAATGCTCTTGTGAGTTTAGGAGTTAACTTGGCTTCATGATGACTCTCTAGAAAACAGCAGTGGCTTGATCTGAAATGACTGAGTTTGAGGAGGTGTGACATTTACCCCCAGGACATCTTGATAAAGAAAAAACGTCTCATCTCTCTGAGACATCTTGGGGTTGCCCTGTCTGGTAGGGCTGATCAGACTACTGGTTGACCTGGTAGCAGCGCTCTCCCTTCTGAGAAAGAGATTGGCACTTTGGAGGCATCTGAAGATCCGTTCCACTTTGTTAAGAGAAGTGTGAGTAGCAGGGTCTCTCACAGGCAGAACCTTTAACTGTGACACCTCTGTGCTTCCAGCTCCATAGTCGGGGCTCGGTGTCACTGAATGCTTCCCTACTGTAGGAAGTGTGACCCTTACTATCTGGGATGCAAGAGGTGTTCCCAGGGTGCTCAATGGCGGCTGGCCAGTCTTGGGCGTCTTCCAAGCTAACAACTACTAAGTCATTTAATTCTTACCTAGAACTCAGAACATCATTAATAGTTAACGCCCGAAGCTAATTTCGGCATCACAGACAAGTTCAGAGGAATGAGATTTCCCAGCAACCCAGCCCTCTCCCCCTCTCGCCCCATCCTGTCCTGAGACTTTCTGTGGTCCCCTTTGCGCAAGCACATCTGCGTGTAGCAGGATCAGTGACATCAAACAGATGTGGCTTCAGATCCACTCTTCGTGAGAGGGGATGGAGAAGGAAGTTGGGGCAGATGAGAATCAGGGAGGGGAGAGGGAGGAGTTAGCAGTGCGATTACTCAACACTTGGATTTTTAATCAAGGGATCTTGGTAATGAACAATATATCCTTTGTTGGGCACAAAAAGAAAAATGCAAACCAGAAGCCAGTAGAGATTTAGTAAACAGAGCAATCTATAGGGCCCCGGAGGGGCATGTGTGCACAATGGTTGTTTTAAACTCTGGGAGAGACAGGCTTTGGTTCAACGGTCAATGCCAGTCTCCTTTGGCAGTATCTTGCATTGACCAGGAGTCAACGCAGAACATTTTGGATTAACTTGGATGATTAATGCTCACAAACAGTAGGCCTGCTGTGTTTATTGTATTCACTGAGCTTTAAGATAATAAAAAAGGCTTATTTGGGACAAAGCCTTCCTCCTTTGAAAGGCTCTCAGAGTTGTGATTAGTCCTTTCAGGTGAGGGATGGCAGAGTGGTCACTACGGGTACTGGAACTCCCAGACAGTTGTCCACATTCCTTTAAGGACAGCCACCTCTAGACGGCTAATTTCCCACCATTACATTGCTGGTCTGCCATTTCTTTCTATCTGGGATCCAGACAGTTAATTATGACTCAAGATGACTGGGCAAAGAGCTGCATAGCCTTGGGCAAGTTATTTAATTTCGTTGAATTTCAATTTGCTCCTCTGTGAAAGACTTTTCCCACTCAGCTTGGAGCTCTGATAAGAATGCTCATGAAAATGCATGAAAACCCGAGAAACTGGTGAAAGCCCTTGTCAAGGGTTTCTCCCAGGTGCCGGGAGAGCTTTCTGTGTATTTCCACACCAGACGCAATGGGCACACACCAAATTCAGAGGGGGTATGAATTTGGACAACACTTGAAACGTGAAGGAGGCCACAGGAGGCAGGGAGCTGGGCAGGACGTTGGGTTGCAGCTGGTTGGATGTAGGACAAGCCACTTCTCTCCTCCAAATCACACACCTGGCATTTTGACTTTGCAAGAAGAAATGGGAATGAAATAATTCTGACTGCCAACAAAACAGTGTTGTGGAGAGCTACACAACTCCAAAATGGCTTTAACAGGAACGGCCTAGTCCTGTCCCAGATGCCTTTTGTCCCTCCCTTCCCTAAAGACAACACTTTCACCTGGGAGTTCGGGAAGAGGTCCATCTGAGTCCAGGTCACCTCAGAAGCCATAAGAAAGTGCAGAGCACTCATGTCTAGCCGGGGTCACTTCATTCATCCAGCTGAGAAGACACATGATAAGCCAAGCAAGGCACAAGCCATCGTTCTGCTGTACTTGTTTCCATCGTGTTCTGTCTTACCTTCTAGATAGCCAGCCACCATTAGAGGTGACCACAAACCTGAAGAGAGAGTCATCTCTTGAAAGCAGCCAGGATTCTGGGAGACTCCGAAGAGGTAGGACAGAGGAGATGTCCATTATGTTGATGGCAGTCGCCTTAACCACCAACCTTCTAAACTACTTCAACTGGGAAACTCTTGAAAGAGACGAGACACGCCTAAGAGGCTGAACGACCCCACCCCGCTTTGCAACCGGCCACTCACAGCCAAGTGCTGTGCCCCCCCCACCAGTCCTTGATGAAGCTTCTTACAAAACAATGTGTTTTAGGTTCCTTGGTCATTGGTGACCCTGCTAGTTCTCAGGCTTGGTCTCAGGGGCTGGCAGAGCTGGAGGCAGACCTGAGGGCTACCACCTGGAAATCCTGGCTCAGCAGTGAGCTGGCAAACGAGCCTTCTGTGAAACACAGGAGTGCCCTTCCAATGGTGTTGAAGCCCAGCTTTTTAGAACTCTGTGTTTAATGTCGATACATAATTGTACATATTTTTATGGGGCACAGTGTTAGCTCCTGATACATGGTGTTTATGTTACATAATAGTCAGATTAGGGTATTTCACTGATCCGTCATACAGTTGTTATCTCTTTCTGATGAGAATGCTCAAGATCATTTCTTCCAGGTATTTGGCATGTTTGGTGTGGTCGTTGTTAGCCAGGTACCCTTGCTGCGCGCTGAAGTGTCACGGTGCATTCTTCCTCTCCAGTTCTAACTGAATGGTTACCATCCTCCCCCTCCTCAGCCTCTGCGAACCTCCATTCTAGTCTCATCTCCCGTGGCAGGATCCAGGTCCTTAGAGTTCCACACATGAGGCGTCACTTGTCTTCCTGCGCCTGGATCACCACGGGGAACACGGAGGTGACATTCCATTATTTGTTCTTTCCTTTGAGATTAGAAAACCAGCTTCAGTAAATCTCCCCACTTGCAGGTGCCTGGGAGCTGATAACTCCTTGTGTGTCGTGGGTGGAGATCCTTTTATGAAGGGGCCCGCCTCCTGCTTTGTGACACTAACGAGCAATAGCGGGCCTCCTCTCTGGGCAAGTATCTGAAGTCACCCTGAGGCAGGGAGGGGGGACACCACGAGATGGATCTAACACTGGGATGTGGGGAGTATGACGATTTCAGGTTCAAGTGTCCCTCGGGGGCTGAAACTCAGGAAGTCAGAGGTAAGCTTGAGAATGTCACTAGGAGAGCACAGTTAGCAAGTCAATGGTAGACTGAGACTAGAAAGTTCTAGAAAGAGTCTGGAGACAGTTTAGAACATTCTCTAGTTCCCTGTTTCTCCAAGCTGGCTTTCCCGTACTGGTGTGCTGTCTTGCCTGTGTTTCTTCCTCTTTTGCTTAGCCCTTCCTTGGGGATCAGCAGCAACTGGAACTGACCACCATGAGCTCAGGATGTGAACAGCGGCCACGGTTGTGACCGGGATCTAGGATTTCATCATTGAGGATGATACAAGGGTCCTCTGAGGGTGTGAACTACTTGTCCCTTAGCTGGTGACCGTGGCCATGGCAGGTAGTCCCCACGTGTGCTCCTTGGATTGGCAGTGGTGGCACCACACTGACATTTGTGCAATGGAAGTTGGCTAAGTTAGAAACCACCACCCTTATTTATTTCTGCTCCCCGGAGAAGTCACCTGTTTGCTAAAGTTTGGGAAGTGCTGTGTTAGAGGTAAGCTTGAGAATGTCACTAGGAGAGCACAGTTAGCAAGTCAATGGTAGATTGAGACTAGAAAGTTCTAGAAAGAGTCTGGAGACAGTTTAGGACAATGCACGCCTCTTAGGAGACCTGTGAGAAGTTTGGAGAGTCAGTTGCCCCCATAGCAGTGGCCTCAGAGGCGGAAAGGAATGAATGGTTGTCCTCAGGTCACCACTCAGCTATTGACTCTGAGAGCCTCTATCTGATGGGGGAGGAGGAGAAATATTTTCAGCCTGCACTACAGTACAAGCCTCAAGCTATTTGGCATGACTCAGGCTGTTGGGAAACAACCGTGCTCTGAGGACAGCCTGACATGTCACTCCAGCTAGGGCCAAGCTGTTCTTTTAAAGGAAAAGCTTTGAGCGGATTCTGAACTTGCAAGAGTCCAGCAACCAGCAAGAGGCAACAGAAGGTTGAGTCACATGACCTCACCAAGGCCACTCTCTGCTCAGCATTTTCACTCTGCAGCGCATGGCCCTCCTGGACCCATCCCGACCACCACCCTGGTTCTGTGCACAGCTGTATGGGTGCCTGGAAGCTAAGACGTAGATCTGCAGTGACTTGGCACAAAGGACTTCTGAGTTATTCAGGAATGTCATTTCCCTGGTCATCCGGGGCTAGAGCATTTTACTGCATTTCAGTGTTTGAAACAGAATGAAGTATGAGAAAGCTCGGTATTGGGAGTTTGCTATTGACCAGACACACCATTTCCAATCATGCTGAATGACAGAGAACTTCCTGCAATACAGCAACTGCTATTTGCGAAAGCAGCAGCACAGGCTGGCATGGACCAAGGACAGTCTCAGGCACTGTGTTATGGCTTTCGGCTCATTATCTGTGTCACCCTTGTAGGTTCCTACAGGGCAAGCTTATTACTGCTTCCATCTTACAGGTGAGTGGACTGAACCATGGAGGAGGCGAGCGACAT